TTTGCTGATGCTTTTAGATATTTAATTTGATACAACAACACTGTGAGATAGAGATTGTTTTCCTGGTTTACAATGATAAACCTGACAAAGAGAAATTAATGCTCATGTAATCAGGTTCTTAGCACACTCAGTCTGTCTCATATTGATGGGGTGGTTTTGTTTTTCTTCTTGTAAATTTGTTTAAGATCTTTGTAGATTCTGAATATTAGCCCTTTGTCAGATGGGTAGATTGCAAAAATTTTCTCCCATTCTGTTGTTTGCCTCTTCATGCTGATGATAATTTTTTGTTTGTTTGTTTGTTTTGCTGTGCAGACGCTCTTTAGTTTAGTTAAACCCCATTTTGTCCATTTTGGCCTTTGTTGCCATCGCTTTTTGTGTTTTAGTTGTTAAGCCCTTGCCTATGCCTATGTCCTGAATGGTATTGCCTAGGTTTTCTTGTAGGTTTTTATGGTGTTACGTCTTATGTTTACATCTTTATTCCATCTGGTGTTAATTTTTGTATGAGGTATAAGGAAGGGATCCAATTTCAGCTTTCTGTGTATGGCTAGCCTGGTTATCCCAACACCATTTATAAATAGGGAATCCTTTTCCCATTGCTTGTTTTTGTTAGGTTTGTCAAAGGTCAGATGGTTGTAGATGTGTGGTGTTACTTCTGAGGCCTCTGTCCTGTTCCATTGGTCTATATATCTGTTTTGGTACCAGTACCATGATGTTTTGATTACTGTAGGCTTGTAGTATAGTTTGAAGTCAGGTAGCGTGATGCCTCCAGCTTTGTTCTTTTTACTTAGAATTGACTTGGCTATACAGGCTCTCTTTGGTTCCATATGAAGTTTAAGGTGATTTTCTCCAATTCTGTGAAGAAAGTCAATGGTAGTTTGATGGGGATAGCATTGAATCTATAAATTACTTTGGGCAGTATAGCCATTTTCATTATATTTATTCTTCCTAACCATTAGCATGGAATGTTTTTACAACTGTTTGTGTCCTCTCTTATTTCCTTTAGCAGTGGTCTGTAATTCTCCTTGAAAAGGTCCTTCACATCCCTTGTAAGTTGTATTCCTAGGTATTTTATTCTCTTTGTAGCAATTGTGAATGGGAGTTCCCTTACGATTTGGCTCTCTGTGTGTCTGTTATTGATACCTAGGAATGCTTGTGATTTTTGCACATTAAAATTATATACTGAGACTTTGCTGAAGTTGCTTATCAGCTTAAGGAGATTTTGGGCTGAGACAAGGGGGTCTTCTAAATATACAATCATGTAATCTGCTAATAGAGACAATTTGACTTCCTCTTTTCCTAATTGAATATCCTCTATTTCTTTTTCTTTCCTGATTGCCCTGGCCAGAACTTCCAATACTATGTTGAATAAGAGTGGTGAGAGAGGGTATCCTTGTCTTGTGCCAGTTTTCAAAGGGAATGCTTCCAGGTTTTGCCCACTCAGGATGATATTAGCTGTGGGTTTGTCATAAATACCTCTTATCACTTTGAGATACATTCCATCAATACCTAGTTTATTGAGAGTTTTTAGCATAAGGTGCTGTTAAATTTTGTTGAAGGCCTTCTTTGCATCTATTGAGATCATCTAGTAGTTTTTGTCTTTGGTTCTGTTTCTGTGATGGATTACATTTATAGATTTGTGTATGTTGAACAAGGCTTGCATCCCAGGGATGAAGCTGACTTGATTGGAATGGACAAGCTTTTTGATATGCTGTTGGATTCGATTTGCCAGTATTATTGAGGATTTTCACATCAATGTTCATCATGGATATTGGCCTGACATTTTGTTTTTAAGTTGTGTCTTTACCAGGTTTTGGTATCAGGATGATGTTGGTCTCATAAAATGAGTTAGGGAGGATTCCCACTTTTGTTTTGTATGGAATAGTTTCAGAAGGAATGGTACTAGCTCCTCTTTGTACCTCTGGTAGAATTAGGCTGTGCACCCGCCTGGTCCTGGCCTTTTTTAGTTGGTAGGCTATTAATTGCTGCATCAATTTGAGACCTTGTTAATGATCTATTCAGTGATTCAACTTCTACCTGGTTTAGTCTTGGGAGGGTGTAAGTGACTAGGAATTTATCCATTTCTTCTAGATTAACTGGTTTATTTGCATAAAGGTATTTGTAGTAATTTCTAATGGTAGTTTGTATTTCTTTTGGATTGGTGGTGATGTTCCCCTTATCATTTTTTATTGCATCTATTCAATTCTTCTCTCTTTTCTTATTTATTATTTTGGCTAGTGATCTATTTTGTTGATCTTTTCAAAATCCAGCTCCTGGATTTATTGATTTTTTTGAAGTTTTTTTTTTTTTGCGTCTCTATCTCCTTCAGTTTTGTTCTGATCTTAGCTATTTCTTGTCTTTTGCTAATTTTAACTTTGTTTGATCTTGCTCCTCTAGTTCTATTAATCATGACATTAGGGTGTTGATTTTAGATCTTTCTTTGCTTCTCATATGGGCATTTAGTGCTATAAATTTCCCTCTAGACACTACTTTAAATGTGTCCCAGAGATTCTGGTACATTGTTCATTCTCACTGGTTTTGAAAATATCTTTATTTCTGCCTTCATTTCATTATTTATCCAGTAGTCATTCAGGAGCAGGTTGTTCAGTTTCCATGTAGTTGTATGGTTTTGAGTGAACTTCTTAATCCTGAGTTCTAATTTGATTGCACTGTGGTCTGAGAGACTGTTTGTCATGATTTCTGTTTGTTTGCATTTGCTGAGGAGTGATTTACTGCCAATTATGTGGTCAATTTTAGAGTAAGTGTGATGAGGTGCTGAGAAGAATGTATATTCTGTGGATTTGGGATGAAGCGTTCTGTATATGTTTATTAGGTCCACTTGGTCCAGATCTGATTTCAAGTCCTGGATATCCTTGTTAGTTTTCTGTCTCATTGATCTGTCTAATATTGACAGTGGGGTGTTAAAGTCTCCCACTATTATCGCATGGGAGTCTAAGTCTCTTTGTAGGTAGTTAAGACCTTACTTTATGTATTTGGGTGATCCTGTATTGGGTGCATATATATTTAGGATAGTTAGCTCTTCTTGTTGCATTTATCCCTTTACCATTATGTAATGTCCTTCTTTGTCTCTTTTGATCTTTGTTGCTTTAAAGTCTATTTTATCAGAGACTAGGATCCCTGCTTTTTTTTTTTCCTCTCCATTTGCTTGATATATCTTCCTCCATTCCTTTATTTTGAGCCAATATGTGTCTTTGCATGTGAGATGGGTCTCCTGGATACAGCACAGCAATGGGTCTTGACTCTTTATTGAATTTGCCAGTCTGTGTCTTTTGATTAGGGCAGTTAGTCCATTTACATTTAAAGTTAATATTGTTACATGTGAATTTGATCCTGCCATTTTGATGCTAACTGGTTGTTTTGCCCATTAGTTGATGCAGATTTTTCATAGTATTGATGGTCTTTACCATTTGGTACTTTTTTGCAGTAGCTGGTACTTGTTGTTCCTTTCCATGTTTAGTGCTTTCTTCAGGAACTCTTATAAGGCAGGCCTGGTGGTGATGAAACTTCTCAGTATTGCTTGTCTGTAAAGGATTTTATTTCTCCTTTGCTTATGAAGATTAGTTTGGATGGATATGAAATTCTGGATTGAAAACTCTTTTCTTTATGGATGTGGAATATTGGCCCCCACTTTCTTCTGGCTTTTGGGTTTCTTCTGAGAGATCTACTGTGCGTATGATGAGCTTCCCTTTGTGGGTATCCCGACCTTTCTCTTTGGCTGCCCTTAGCATTTTTTCTTTCATTTCAACCTTGGTGAATCTGACGATTATGTGCCTTGGGGTTGCTATCCTTGAGGAATATCTTTGTGGTGTTCTCTGTATTTCCTGGATTTGAATGTTGGCTTGCCTTGCTAGGTTGGGGAAGTTCCCTTGGATAATATCCTGAAGAGTGTTTTCCAACTTGGTTTCCTTCTACCCATCACATTCAGTTACACTGATCAAATGTAGGTTTGATCTTTTCACATAATCCCATATTTCTTGGAAACTTTGTTCATTTCTTTTCATTCTTTTTTCTAATCTTGCCTTCTCACTTTATTTCATTGAGTTGATCTTCAATCTCTGATATCCTTTCGTCCACTTGATCAATTCAGCTATTGAAACTTGTGAATGCTTCATGAAATTCTCGTGCTGTGTTTTTCACCTCCATCAAGTTGTTTATGTTCTTCTCTATGCTGGTTATTCTAGTTAGCATTTCATCCAACCTTTTTTTCAAGCTTCTTAGTTTCCTTGCATTGGGTTAGAAGATGCTCCTTTAGCTTGGAGAAGTTTGTTATTAACTACTTTGTGAAGCCTGCTTCTGTCAATTCATCAAACTCATTCTCCATCCAGTTTTGTTTCCCTGCTATTGAGGAGTTGTGATCCCTTGGAGGCAAAGAGGCATTCTGTTTTTTGCTGATTTCATCCGTTTTGTGCTGGTTTCTTCCCATCTATGTGAATTTATCTACCCTTGGTCTTTGAAGTTGGTGACTTTTGGATGGGGTCTCTGAGTGGACGGACATCCTTTCTGTTGATGTTGAAGCTATTTCTTTGTTTTTTCATTTTCCTTCTAACAGGTCCCTCTGCTGCAGGTCTGCTGGAGTTTGCTAGAGGTCCACTCTAGACCCTGTTTGCCTGGAAATCACCTGCTGGGGCTGCAGAACAGCAAAGATTGATGCCTGTTCCTTCTTCTGGTAGATTTGTCCCAGAAAGGTACCTGCCAGGTGTCAGCCAGAGCTCTCCTGTATGAGCAACTACCAGTCAGGATACATGGGAGTCAGTGAGCCACTTGAAGAGGCAGTCTGTCCCTTATCAGAGCTCAAGTGCTGTGCTGGGAGCTCCGTTGCTCCCTTCAGAGCTCCTAGGCAGGAACGTTTAAGTCTGCTGAATCCAAACCCACAACCACCCCTCTTCCCAGGTGCTCTGTCCCAGAAAGGTGGGGGCTTTATTTATAAGTCCCTGATGTACTGCTGCCTTTTTTCAGAGACACCTTGCCTAACAAAAAGGGAGACTAGTCACAATCTGCCTACAGAGGCCTTGTTGACCTGCCGTGGGCTCCACCCAGTTGCTGTGTAAACTTCCCGATGACTTTGCTCATACAGGCGAGGTTTAAAACTGCCTACTTGAGCCTCAGTAATGGCAGACGCCTCTCCTCCCACTGAGCTCAAATGTCCCAGGTTGAGCTCAGACTGCTGTGCTGGCTGTGAGAATTTCAAGCCAGTGGACCTTAGCTTGATGAAGTTAGTACATAGTAGGCCCAATTTTTTTCCCATTTTCTTTAGTTTGGGAAATTTGATTTTAAAATGCTGCTTTTAAAATATATATTGTGTATCCCTAGCAAGAGTTGATGAGATGGCACCATGTACCCACAAAAACAACAAAAATTAAAAAGTAGATGATACAAGTAGAGGCAATAATATGGAGAAATGAGCACTCATATACATTGCTATTGGGTGAGCAAAACTGAAAATAATTTTGGAGAAGCTGAAATTGTGTAGGTGTGCTTCCAAAATACCTAGAAATTCTACCACAAGGCACATTACCAGAGGAATTCTTTCACACATGCATAGGGAAGCACACACAAGAATGTTTGGCATGGCAGTTTTTGAAATAGGAATCAGAAACAGCTGAAATAATTGAAAGATAGAATGGATGAATACAATGTCTTTTCATGTGATATGAGGTTTTATAATATTAAAAGGAATAAATTAGACCTGCATACATCAGAACTGACATATTTCAACATCTCAAAACCACAATTTTTGAGAAGAAACAGATGCTTGACCCTGGATGCCTGTAAGAAGGTGGAGAGGTAGATGAGCAAGGTTTGGGTGATAAAATGAACCAAAAAATGATGAGCTAGGCTTGGACCAATATTCATAATTGTACTTTGAACTGAGTATGACAGATTTTATCAATCTCATAATGTTTTCCTGAGGTTCATATAGTAACAAATGAAACAGTATCAATAGTAGACATATTATATATTTTTATTCCTGAAAATATTTATATTGAGAGTTGACAGAAACCATTTGGGGTCATTAAAAAAATAGGCAAGATTCTGCTTTGCTGAGACTTTTCCCCCTTCTAGTGGACAGGACAGGCTCTCAAGACAGACTCCACGTGGGCTTGCTCTTTTGTGGCGCCCTTCTGGCCCTTGTAAACATTTATTAAACTTTTGCCCCTGGCAACTTCTGGTCAGTGCCAGTGATCAGAACCTCTCCTTTAATTTTCTAATCAAGTCACCTTTTGTTTTAAATTTTTAAGGCATCAGATACCACTTCATCATATTCTCCTAACTGCAAAGGAAACAAAAACTAAGTTTTCAGAAGAGACTCTTCAGAAACGAACTCAGTAGTCCTGTGGTAAGAGGAAAGCACTCTCCTTGGTGGAAGGTGGGACCCACAGTGTAATTCTCTCCAATGAAATCTCTTCAGTTTCTCTTCTAATCTCCAGCAACCCAATCATTTTATACTCTTAAACTGGGTGAAGCACTTAAGAGTTGAGTTATTCCCTTTTGTTTGATACCTTCTTTTTTTTAATCTGTGTTCCACTCTAAGCTCCTATTACATTTATTCTGTGTTTCTAGAGGCCAAGAAAACCACTTTCTCATTTTAGAATCTCCACTGCTAATGCAGTGTCTGGCATATAGTAGGTGCTTAATAAATGCTTTTAAAATTCATCTGGCATAGTACAACAGCCTCCTCTCTCTCTGCTTTCATTTTTGCCACTCCTTGCTACTCGTCATTTTCCCACACAGCAACCAAAGTGAGTCTTTAAAAATGTCAATTTGAAATGTCACGCCCTGGCCCCAAACCTTCAATGAGCACCTACCACATAGTTGGAATTAAATCCAGCCTCTCTCAGGATGTGCAAGGGCCTGTCTGACTTGGGCGTGATTATTCTTTCCTCTTGCTAACTCCTCACCAGCTACGTGAGCATCTTTGCTGTTCCGACTTGCCAAGCAAGATACTGCTCTAGGAATTTTGTGCTTGCTGTTCAGTTTGATAGCCTCTACCCTCAGACAGTCGTATGCGTATGCCTTCCTCCTTCCCTTCTTCACATCCCTGCTTAACATTCCCCTCAGCTAAGATGCTTTCCAAAAACACTTTACCTAAAATAGCATCTCACTTCAACACTTCCATTGTCTTGTGTGGGTTTATTTCTTCATAGCCCTACCTGACAGTATATATTTGTCACTTCCTATTAGATCAGGAACTCCATGAGGACAGGGATTTTATTGGTTTTGTGCATTGCCCTATCCCTAGTACCTAGGTCAGTCGCTGGCAGATAACAGGTATCATCCTTAGCAGTATGGGGTCAACAGTTTCTCCCATTCTGAGAACTTGGGTGGTTGAGCGCTTTCAGCAGAAGCTCCTCACTGAGCCATTCAAAGCTGTGCAGGATCTGACCCATCTTCCTTTCTTTTTCTTTGTGCTTTAATTTCTTATCAATTGCCCTTGCTTTCTAGTTTAGGAAATTATGCAGGCTGAATTCAGAACGTGGATGGCTGAGTTAGCTCACACTGTGTTTTATTCTTTTCAAAATTAAATCTGTATGCTTTACATGGCATATATGCTCTATAGTTCACCCAAGTCCTGGATACTCTGTATAATAAGGCTCTCAGACAGTTTAGATCATTTACGTTATTCATCTGGCTCCCTTACACTTCTGGACAAATTTATTTCATCATACTTCTCAAAGTCACTTTTTTTTTTTTAAATTGCTATTCCTGTGATTTTTCCCAAATACCTCCTTTTACACAAAACTCTCTCTTCCATTTCTATCTATTGAGCCCCATCTATTTTCAGCTTGGCTCAGCCAGTGTCTTGAAGCCTTCCACAGTGCACACTCAGGGGTACAATTTCTCCATCCTTTGAATGCCTGTGGTACTTTGCCTTATCATTTTTAGCTTATCTATGACATTTTTACTTCGGTTATTTATATAAATTATAAAAATATTTCCTTCTGGAGAAAAAGCTTCTGCTTTATTTGCCTTGCATTCTCCAAGGCACCTAGCTCCTAAGCTCAGTATGTATTTACCGAATGAAGGGTGCTTGATGTATGAAAGCAGAAGCAATCTTCACAGTAATTCGAACCAAGTAGGGCAAAGAGTATTCTTCATTGTTTCTAGATGAGGACCCAGGCAAGTTAAATGTGTGCTCAGGTGCCTTGGCTAATGAGTCACACAGCTAGGAATAAAGAGATGTCAGGTCTTCTGAGTATTTGTCCTGATCATCACTTCCAAGTGTTCTGATCATCATTTCCATGAGTCATATCAGTCACAGAAAATCATTCAATATGCCAAATACTAGATGCCTTTTCTACTGAGGCATAGTTCTAAACATTATGGGAGATAATGTTTTAAAATTATACCTATATTGCTCCCCAAACAGCAGTTTTATATTCCTACTTTTCAATAACTTTCATATTGAGCTGAAAACATAGAGTCAAATTCATGTTTTAAAATTTAGCAAAATTTATTAATTGGTTCCTATAAATAAATTTTTTTTTCTGTCTTTGAATTTTACATATGCCTGTCAACTTTTCTTGTTGTGTGAAAAAATAAATTATGACCTTTAACCTTGAAGACCTCTGATTAATTTATCCTATGCCAATAGTATAACACCATAAAAGCAACGCACACTTTCATAATCTTTCATAATATTTCTTGAAAACAATTATTCAACTCTAATAATTGTGAAATCCTGTGATAATCTTGTATTACTTTAGAGAAAAATCATCCCTGTAAGAGCTGTAAAAAAGCATTGAACAAATGTGGAATGGTCAAGTTTTATATTTTATAACATGGGAGCTTCTTCCTAATATCTAGGGAGGCTGGGCATTATTATAAATACGTCAATATGCATATTATGCATCATCCATAGGCTGAATATGTAATATGCCTCTATATATGAAAGTTTTGTTGCACATCTAATTGTCATATTTAGATGTGCCACATTTAGATGTGAGACAAAACTTTTATATGTAGAATGCAGTTAATGTGATTCATTAACTGGAATTTAAAATGATGGTTTTTAAATTAATATTTATAGTAATAAAATTTTATATTATTTATATTAATAAATGAATAAAGTTTATATGTATTTATATTTATATTTTTTTGTAGAGAAAAGGTCTTGTTTGGTTGCCCAGGCTGGTCTTGATTCTCCTGCCTCAACCTCTAGACGTGCTGGAATTACAGCCCAGGCTGGTCTTGATTCTCCTGCCTCAACCTCTAGACGTGCTGGAATTACAGGTATAAGCCACCATGCCTGGCCCTTTTAGCTCTTTATTTTTCCAGAATTTCAGTGAGAAATGTTTTAAAAAATAGCACAAAAATTTATTTATAATCTATTTACTTGAAGAAATGGACCCTTTGACCGCAAATGGTTTACTGGACATTTCTTAAAAATGATATTCTCTCACATAACCACAGAACAATCGTCAAAATTAGAAAATTATTATTGATATTATACTTCTGTCTACTCTGCAGACCCAATTCAAATGTTATGAATTATTGCAATCATTTTACATTTTGTAAGAAAGGAACATTCCAAATCATGTGTTGTGTGCAGTTGTCTCTTTAGTCTCCTTTATTTTGGAAAAGTGTGTGTACTTTTCAAATTTAAATGTTAATTAAATGTAAAATATATACACAGATTGTAAGTGTTCAGTCTGATTAATTTTAACAATTATATATATGTGTGTTACCATCACCCAAAACAAGACACGTCTTCAGCTCTGACAAAGCTTTCCTTGTGCTCATTTCCAGTCAAGTCTCTTCTCCCTAAGAAGGAATTACTTTTCAATTCCTATTTACATAGGTTAATTTTGTCTATGCTTGAAAGTCACATAAATGGATTTATACATGTATACTATTGTGCCTGACTTCTTTCACTCAGCAAAATGTTTTTGATATTAATTCATGTATCAGCAATTTGTTCCTTTTAAATTGCTCAGTAGTATTCCATTACGTGTATACCCTACAATTCATTTATCTATTTTCCTGTGATGGATATATCTAGGCTGTTTTCAGTTTTTGTCTATTATAATAAAACTGCTACAATATGAAAGTGCAAATCATTTAATTAATACATGTTTTCATTCTTCTTAGGGAGAAAACTGGAAATGGAATTGATGAGTTCTAGGGTGGGGGTTTACGTATTTAAGAATTGTCATATTTGTTCACCAAAGTGGATGTGTGATTTTCCACTTCTACCAGCAATACATGAGAGTGTCAGTTTTTCTGTATCCTCACCAAAATGTAGTTTGCCAATCTTTTTTATTTTAACCATCCTAGTGGGTGTGAAATGTTAAATGTCTTCTCTTCTGCTTGTTGACTGTTCATATATTTTCTTTCATGAAGTATCTGTTCAAGTCATTTGTCCATTTTCTAATTGGGTCATTGGACTTTTTATTGTGATTCATAAGAGTTCTTCATATAATCTGTATATGAATCCTTTGTCAGATATATATACTGAAATTTTTTTTCTCAGTCTGTGACTTACCTTTTAATTTTCTTCATGGCGTCTTTGGATGAGTAAAACTTTTAAATTTTGATGAAGTTGTTTCCTTTTTGTGTTATATCTAAGAAGTCTTTGCTTACTAAAAGGGAAGGATAATCTTTATGCTTCATTTTAAAAGCTTTTGGTTCTAGGTTTTATGTTTGGTCTATGAACTTTATTAATTTTTAAATATGTAGTACCTAAGGGCCAAGGTTTGTTTACTTTCATATGAATATCTAGTTGTTTAGATACCATTTGTTAAAAACACTTTTCTTATCCTAATGAATTGTACAGGCATCTTGATGGAAAATCAATTGAATGCATATGTGTGCACTTATCCCTAGATTTTATTAATTTTTTGCATTGATATATCCATCCCATGTCAATATCACATTTTTTGCATTATAGTAGCTTTACAAGAAGTTTGGAATCAGGTAGTGTAAGTCCTTCAACTTTTTTTCTTTTTAAAAAAATTTTTGGACAATTTAGATCTTTTGTATTGTAATACAAATTTTAGAATCAGCTCATCAATTTCTCAAAGAAAAATCCCACTGGGAGGGGATCCAAGATGGCCGTTTAGGAACAGCTCAGGATTGCAGCTCCCAGTGAAAGCGCAGAGGCTGCTGCAGGTGATCCCCAGGCAATCAGGGCCGGGAGTGGAACTCAGCAGACCTACAGCAGAGGGGCCAGACTGTCAGAAGAAAAACCAAGAAACAGAAATAACCTCATCATCAACAAACAGAACGTCCACTCAGAGGCCCAATCTGAAAGCCAGCAACTACAAAGACGACAGGTGGATAAATCCATAAAGATGGGAAGAAACCAGCGCAAAAAGGATGAAAACACCCGAAACCAGAACACCTCTCCTCCTAAAAGGGATCACAACTCCTCACCAGCAAGGGAACAAGGTTGGATGGAGAACGAGTGTGACGAAATGACAGAATCAGGCTTCAGAAGGTGGGTAGTAAGAAACTTCTGTGAACTAAAAGAACATGTTCTAACCCAATGCAAAGAAACTAAGAACCTTGAAAAAAGATTTGACAAAATGCTAACGAGAATGGACAAAATAGAAAGGAATATAAGTGAATTGATGGAGCTGAAAAACACAACACGAGAACTTCACGAAGCATGTACAAGTATCAACAGCCGAATTGACCAAGCAGAAGCAAGAATATCAGAGGTCGAAGATTAACTCAATGAAATAAAACGGGAAGGCAAGAATAGAGTAAAAGGGGTAAAAAGGAATGAACAAAGTATCCAAGAAATGTGAGACTATGTGAAAAGACCTAATCTACGTTTGATAGGTGTACCTGAATGCAACGAAGAGAATGAATCCAAGCTGGAAAGTACTCTTCAGGTTATTATCCAGGAAAACTTCCCCAACCTAGCAAGGCAGGCAAATATTCAAGTCCAGGAAATACAGAGAACACCACAAAGATATTCGTCAAGAAGAGCAACCCCAAGGCACATAATCGTCAGATTTACCAGGTTTGAAATGAAGGAGAAAATACTAAGGGCAGCCAGAGAGAAAGGTCGGGTTACTCACAAAGGGAAGCCCATCAGACTCACAGCAGATCTCCCAGCAGAAACCCTACAAGCCAGAAGAGAGTGGGGGCCAATATTCAACATCCTTAAAGAAAAGAACTTTCAACCTAGAATCTCCTATCCAGCCAAACTAAGCTTCATAAGTGAAGGAAAAATAAAATCCTTTGTGAACATGCAAGTACTCAGAGATTTCGTCACCACCAGGCCAGTTTTACAAGAGCTCCTGAAAGAGGCTCTACACATATAAAGGAACAACCAGTACCAGCCACTCCAAAAACATGCCAAATGATAAAGAGAATCAACACATTGAAGAATCTGCATCAACTAATGGGCAAAACAGCCAGCTAGCACCAAATGGCACACATAACAATATTAACCCTAAATGTAAATGGACTAAATGCCCCAATCAAAAGACACAGACTGGAAAATTGGATAAACAACCAAAATCCATCGGTGTGCTGTATCCAGGAAACCCATCTTACATGCAAGGATACACAAAGGCTCAAAATAAAGGGATGGAGGAAGATTTACCAAGCAAATGGAGAGCAAAAAAAAAAAAAAAAAAAAGCAGGAGTTGCAATTCTCATCTCTGATAAATTAGACTTTAAAGCAACAAAGATCAAAAGAGACAAAGAAGGACATTACATAATGGTAAAAGGATCAATGCAACAAGAAAAGCTAACGATCCTAAATATATATGCCCCCAATACAGGAGCACCCAGATACATAAGGCAAGTTCTTAATGACTTACAAAGAGACTTAGACTCCCACACGATTATAGTGGGAGACTTTAACATCCCATTGTTAATATTAGACAGATCAACCAGACAGAAAATTAACAAGGATATCCAGGACTTGAACTCAGACCTGGACCAAGCAAACCTAATAGACATTTACAGAACTCTCCACCCCAAATCCACAGAATATACATTCTTCTCAGCACCACATCACACCTACTCTAAAATTGACCACGTAATTGGGAGTAAATCACTCCTCAGCAAATGCAAAAGAACGGAAATCATAAGAAACAGTCTCTCAGACCACAGAGCAATCAAGTTAGAACTCAGAATTCAAAAACTAACGCAGAACCACACAGCTTCATGGAAACTGAACAACTTGCTCTTGAATGTTGACTGGATCAACAATGAAATGAAGACTGAAATAAAGATATTCTTCGAAACCAACGAGAATGAAGACACAACATACCAGAATCTCTGGGACACATTTAAAGCAGTCTCTAGAGGAAAATATATAGCAATAAGTGCCCACATGAGAAGCAAGGAGAGATCAAAAATTGACACCCTATCATCAAAACTGAAACAGCTAGAGGAGCAGGATCAAAAAAACTCAAAGTCTAGCAGAAGACAAGAAATAACTAAGATCAGAGCAGAACTGAAGGAGATAGAGACACAAAAAACCCTTCAAAAAAATCAATAAATCCAGGAGCTGGTTTTTTGAAAAAATCAACAAAATAGACAGACCACTAGCCAGATTAATAAAAAGGAAAAGAGAGAATAACCAAATGGATGCAATAAAAATCGATAAAGGGGATATCACCACAGATTCCACAGAAACTCAAACCATCATCAGAGATTATTACAAACATCTCTATGCACATAAACTAGTAAACCTGGAAGAAATGGATAAATTCCTGGACACTTGCCTCCGCCCAAGCCTAAACCAGTAAGAAGTCGAAACCCTGAACACACCCATAAAAAGGTCTGAAGTTGAGGCAGCAATTAAGAGCTTACCACCCAAAAAAAGCCCAGGTCCAGACGGGTTCACAGCGGAATTCTACCAGACATACAAAGAGGAGCTGGTACCATTCCTTCTGAAACTATTCCAAACAATACAAAAAGAGGAAATTCTTCCCAAATCATTTTATGAGACCAACATCATCTTGATTCCAAAACCTGTCAGAGACTCAACAAGAAAAGAAAACTTCAGGCCAATATCCATGATGAACATAGATGCAAAAATCTTCAATAAAATACTGACAAGCCGATTGCAACAGCACATCAAAAAGCTTATCCACCATGATCAAGTAGGCTTCATCCCGGGGATGCAAGGCTGGTTCAACACACACAAGTCTATAAACGTAATTCACCACATAAACAGAACCAAAGACAAAAACCACATGATTATCTCAATTGATGCAGAGAAGGCCTTTGACAAAATTCAACAGCCCTTTATGCTAAAAACCCTCAATAAGCTAGGTATTGACAGAACGTATCTCAAAATAATAAAAGCTATTTATGACAAACCAACAGCCAATATCATACTGAATGGGCAAAAACTGGAAGCATTTCCCTTGAAATGTGGCACTAGAGAAGGATGCCCTCTCTCACCACTCCTGTTCAATATAGTACTAGAAGTTCTAGCCAGAGGAATTAGGCAAGGAAAGGAAATAAAGGGTATTCAAATAGGAAAGGAGGAAGTCAAATTGTCTCTATTTGCAGACGACATGATTGTATATCTAGAAGACCCCATTGTCTCAGCCCAAAAGTTCCTGAAACTGATAAGCAACTTCAGCAAAGTCTCAGGATACAAAATCAATGTGCAAAAATCACATGCATTCCTATACACCAATAACAGACTTAAAGACAGCGAAATCAAGAACGAACTTCCATTCACAATTGCCACAAAGAGAATAAATTACCTAGGAATACAACTAACAAGGAACGTAAAGGGCCTCTTCAAGGAGAACTACAAGCCACTGCTCAACGAAATAAGAGAGGACACAAACAGATGGAGAAACATTCCATGTTCATGGTTAGGAAGAATCAATATTGTGAAAATGGCCATACTGCCCAAAGTAACTTACAGATTGAACGCTATCCCTATCAAACTACCAATGACATTTTTCACAGAACTGGAAAAAAACACCTTAAACTTCATATGGAACCAAAAGAGAGCCTGCATAGCCAAGTCAATTCTAAGCAAAAAGAACAAAGCAGGAGGCATCACACTACCGGACTTCAAACTATACTACAAGGCTTCAGTAATCAAAACAGCATGGTACTGGTACCAAAACAGAGATATAGGCCAACGGAACAGAACAGAGGTCTCGGAGGCAACACAACATATCTACAACCATCTGATCTTTGACAAACCAGACAAAAACAAGCAATGGGGAAAGGATTCCCTGTTTAATAAATGGTGTTGGGAAAACTAGCTAGCCATGTGCAGAAAGCAGAAACTGGACCCCTTCCTGACACCTTACACTAAAATTAACTCCAGATGGATTAAAGACTTAAACATAAGACATAACACCGTAAAAACCCTAGAAGAAAATCTAGGCAAAACCATTCAGGTCATAGGTGTAGGCAAGGACTTCATGACCAAAACACCAAAAGCATTGACAACAAAAGCCAAAATAGACAAATGGGACCTAATCAAACTCCACAGCTTCTGCACAGCAAAAGAAACAGTCATTAGAGTGAATCGGCAACCAACAGAATGGGAAAAAATTTTTGCAGTTTACCCATCTGACAAAGGGCTGATATCCAGAATTTACAAAGAACTAAAACAGATTTACAAGAAAAAAAATTAACAAGCCCATTCAAAAGTGGGCAAAGGATATGAACCGATACTTTACAAAAGAAGGCATACGTGAAGCCAACAAACATATGAAAAAATGCTCACCATCGCTGGTCATCAGAGAAATGCAAATCAAAACTACATTGAGATACCATCTCACGCCAGTTAGAATGGCGATCATTAAAAAATCTGGAAATAACAGATGCCGGAGAGGATGTGGAGAAATAGGAACACTTTTACACTGTTGGTGGGAGTGTAAATTAATTCAACCATTGTGGAAGACAGTGTGGCAATTCCTCAAGGACCTAGAAATAGAAATTCCATTTGACCCAGCAATCCCATTACTGGGTATATATCCAAAGGATTATAAATCATTCTACTATAAGGACACGTGCACATGAATGTTCATTGCAGCACTGTTTACAATAGCAAAGACCTGGAACCAACCCAAATGTCCATTGATGATAGACTGGACAGGTAAAATGTGGTACATATACACCATGGAATATTATACAGCCATCAAAACCATCAAAAATGATGAGTTTGTGTCCTTTGTAGGGACATGGATGAACCTGGAAACTATCATTCTCAGCAAACTGACAGAAGAGCAGAAGATCAAACACCACATGTTCTCACTCATAGGCGGGTGTTGAACAATGAGAACACATGGACACAGGGAGGGAAGCACTACACACTGGGGTCAGTTGGGGGGAAATAGGGGAGGGACGGTGGGGGGTGGGGAGCTGGGGAGAGTTAGCAAGGGGAGAGATGCCAGATGTAGGTGATGGGGAGGAAGGCAGCAAATCACACTGCCACGTGTATACCTATGCAACAATCTTGCATGTTCTTCACATGTACCCCAAAACCTAAAATTCAATAAAATAAATAAATGGGGGGGAAAAAAAAGAAAAATCCTGCTGAAATTTTATAGTGATTGTGTGGATTCTAAGATCAGTATGGAAGAATGAACAGGCTAAAATTGTTAATAAATCTAATGAAGATTTGTTTACAACCTCAACAGTTTTAACAGTCTTCTAGTCTCTGAGTATGTTGTATCTGCCTTATAGGTCTTCTCCAGTTTCTGTCAGCAATATCTTGTATCTCTGCTCTTTTTAATTTGTCAGGTAGTCTACAATATGTATTTTTCTTTTTGATAGTTACATACTCTAGCCATAGCAAATAAATCAGCAATTTGGATCTTCTAATCAAATAGATCCATTTAAGGAAACAAATTCTTTAATTCATAGGTGAAGAATGGGGAACAGGTTTTGATAGTCTCAAACTGGCTGAAATAGTAAATATACTTCCTTTTAGATCTGCTGACCTTTTGGGGAGTAAACTCAGAAAATTCTGTTTCAAAGAAACTGCAATAGGCAAATCAAGGTTGACTTAATTGTCTAAGTCAGCAAACAATTAGAACCATCAGACATGTGCTTCCTAAAACAAGAAACTAGATTCTAAGAAAAAGATAAACAGGCGGGGCGTGGTGGCTCACGCCTATAATCCCAGCATTTTGGGAGGCCGAGGCGGGAGGATCACGAGGTCAACAGATCGAGACCATCCAGGTCAACATGATGAAACCCTGTCTAAACTAAAAACACAAAAAAATTAGCTGGGCGTGGTGGCACGTGCCTGTATTCCCAGCTATTTGGGAGGCTGAGACAGGAGAATTGCTCGAACCTGGGAGGCGGAGGTTGCAGTGAGTTGAGGTCTCGACCCTGCAGTCCAGCCTGACGCCTGG